ATATAAATGTAAAACAAAATTATATTTAAAAACAACAACAACAACAACAGAGAACAGATTTTGACAAAAAAAGAACCACTAACCTGCAGTTACTCATGTCTCCAGTAATACATCAGTCAGGTTTGGTTGTTAAAATAAGCAGCATTCAGATTTCATTGATTATTAGTTAGATGATCAGCGAGAGAGAAAACAGTCCCACGTGTGCCACAACGAAACTCAGTAATAAGATTTGATATCAAAATAATTCCTTATTCAGAGATCACAAGATGCCTTATTGAATGATCCTGTTGCACACTTAGATTAAAAGAAATAGAAACCAGTTTAGCTTTGTGCGTCTGCCTTTACTGTATATTCTGCAACTATATGCACATAGTTACAGGTTTGTACACAGTCTCACACAGCGTTTGTTAGGCACACTGCCTCATGGTGAGTGGCCTGGCAGCCAGAGCTGCTCATTTCAGGAGATGGTCCCTCTTGTGGTGTAACAGAGGAATAATTCTCCTCATTTGAGACTGGGGCACACATTATCTTACAACTAAAGAAAATAACATATTTGAACAATCGGAAATTTTAACCAAATACACAACTGTAATTATAGGATTATGGGAGCCGTCTTGTTTTTCTTACAATCCCAATAACAGCATGTAGAAAATTGGAACCTGTCTTCTACCTCAGGTATCTCTTTGCTGTAGCTGTTGTTCAACGCTAACTTTTGTTGGAGTCAGTGGTTTGACTCAGTTCTGTTGTATTTTTGTTCAGATCCGCTCTAGTGACGATAAATTAAGGAAGATCTTTTACAGCATCACTGGTCCTGGAGCTGATCTGCCTCCTGTTGGTCGTTTCACGTTGGACAGAGAAACGGGCAATCTGTATGTAACACAACCACTCGACAGAGAGGAAATAGCTCTTTACCTGGTAATCATCCTCACTTTGTACCTGATTATTGCATTTTTATCTCCATTGGAAAAGTGTGTGTCTGTGTGGGGGCGAATCTAAACTTAAAATCTTCTGTCTGTGTAGTTTGAAGCACATGCTGTG